ATTTATGTAAGAACTTAGAGTTGAAACTTGAGGACTTTTCTGTGCATGACCATAATTCTTCTCTTCATGGCTTCTTTTTTGTTTTGTTTTGTTTTAGTTTCCGGTGCACTCTTTTTCTTTATGTTGTAATTCTGATTCGACAATTTTGCAATGCTTTTGGTATATATGGGATGAAAGAAGAACAAACTAAAGAAAAAGGAGAAGGAGAAGAAATCTATTGCACAATTTGCTGAGCTTGAACAGGAAGTTGCAAAGCAAGAAAAAGCTTTTAGAATGTTAAGTATTCTTCATGCTATATACTGGTGTGTATAGAAGGAGATGAATAGGAGGATCTTTGAGGGAAAGTATGCCACAACAAGGGTCATATCCTACACTGAATTCTATTGACGATTAAGCATTTGATATCATGGTGACAGGTTGGAAGAGAAGTAACATATTTTTTAGGAAGAGAAGTTTTTAGTGACCCCCCCCCCCCCCCACACACACACATTTATTAAGTTAGTACTCTGTGTTGATATGGGTTGATGATTGCTTCTTTTCTAATGAAGATTGCTCAAAATTTTAGCAAGATAGTCTAGGTTTGTATTGATTTGATGTTTTCATATCTAAAAAGGTATTTCCTCAAGGGTATTTAGACTAATGTTCTGTAAATAATCATTATGATGATAAGTAATATGAATGTTTTTAAATATACTAAACACGACCACATCTCCCGCGATGTAGCCGTGGGATTTATTCTAGTGTGAATAATTTATAGCTTTCTTGGTCTTCCATTGCAATAAGTTTCTTGATCGGTCATGTATTTATATCATGGTAACTCCTTAATGTTAAGGATTGAATTGATCTTATTGTATGATCTACCTATAAGAACTTCATCTCTATGAGTTCACTTTCGTTCACGAAATTAAGAGAAAATCATCTATATGATCATTTACATTTCTTCCAACAATTCAAATCATTGGAAATGAACCGGTTTATAACAAACACAACTATAATCCTTTGCATTGTCCGGGCTTGACTTCATTGAAATAAGATACAAATTGTACTTTATATCTAACAACGACAATCCAACTATATTATAATAACGTTGTCCCGCCACCGCCACGAAGTGCGGGTAACAAGGTTGTCAACGGGCTAAACCCACTTACTCGACCGGGCCAACGGGTTAAACCGGGTTGACAACCTTGGTGGGTAAAATAACTAGTATATAACTAATAAAATAAGAGTTAGTGAATTGGTGAATCTATCCTTGGTCATTCCAATACATCAATTCATGAACCAAAATGGACATGGATCTAATGAATTTGAATAAGGGGTCGTTTGGATAGGTTATTTAGATGAGTTATTTTGGCCTAAATAACCCATTATGAGTTATTTGGACCGAAATAACACATTTGGCTCCATAAAACTTAAACGGGTTATTTGGGGAGCGGGTTATTAACAAATAACGCAAAACGCGTTATTTGAAATAACAACCCACCCCCTGTTATTTCAAAATAATGCATTCTGCGTTAATTCTATTTCATCTTTGCCCAGTTTCTCTTTCTTCCAGCGTCTTTTTCCCTGTCCTCTTCCTTTCTCATTCCTTTTCCAACTTCTTCTCCCTGAAATTAGATCTTCAGCCTCCTCTTCTTCTCTTTCTTTTGAAATAGTAGATGGAGCTTCCAACGAAATCTCAAAAAAAAAAAAAAAATCCAATTCAGTCTTCTTTTCTGACAAAATGATTTTGATTTTGTTAACCGTGGTTTAGCAGTTCGCCCGTGGAAAGAGACAACGAAGGGTCTTCGAAACACTACAAGAAAACTTGACTATTGCGACGAATTCATAGAGACAAATGTTACATTTGTTTCCATAAGTAACTTATACATGACAGTTATTCAATTTGTTGCTACAAGTGTTATTATCTGTCTCAGAAACTATCAAATATATGACTGATTTTAAAATTGTCTCTATAAGGATTGTTGTATACATATAACTTATAAGCATAGGGATGGCAATGGGGCGGGTTTGCCTAAACCATCCCCATCCCCATCCCATCCCCATCTTCAAATACCCAAATCCATACTCGCCCCATACCCATGCGGGGGAATGTTTTGCAAACCCATCCCCATACCCGTGGGTTTCGGGTACCCATGGGTAATACCCATCCCCGTACATCCAACATTATTATACCTAAAACTTACAATAAAAGTTTTAATTATAACCATAAACAAACCTATTATATCATGAAGTCAACAAAATACGGTCATTTTCTAATATGATTCAAAGAATATGATCCTAAAACATCCATTAATACATAATATAAACTACAATATTTTTTAAATTATTATGCTCTAACTCTTGATACATTTACTAAGTAATAATTAACTAACATAATCTTGTTGACAAGGGGGAAAGTGAAAGAGTGGAAGGAGAATTGAGGGAAATGAATTAGGTTTTGATTAAGGTGGTTACGCAATTACATTTCTACTATTTATTTTCTCGAGTTATCATCATCATCATTGATAGATTACAATTTAATCCACATATTTTTTGATATGTGAAGAAATTCTCTTGGTGGGGCGGGTATGGGGCGGGGGAGGCTAAAACCATACCCGCCCCATACCCATCAAACTTTTTGCGGATTTTACCCATACCCGCCCCATACTCGGTCAAAGCGGGGATTCCCCGCATTGACTGGGTCGGGGGCGGTCGGGTACCCGCGGCCATGGGTTTGATTGCCATCCCTAATAAGCATGTTTGATGTTTCTCTAGATAGAATTTCAGTTTTAGAGACAGACTTATCATAATGTCATTTAATTTTTTTTTTTTTCGAATTTTGGCTGTAAAAACATTTCACTAACATGATTTCTATCTACTTTCGGGCTTGAGATGCAACCCTCAGAAGTGTGAGGTTTTCTTTGGAGGGCAAGCACACTTATATAAGGCGAATGCCATAGAGTTGTCCGGATTTGCAGAAGGACATTTGCCTGTGAGATACTTAGGGCTTCCGTTAATTGCTGGCCGCTTATCAACTAAGGAGTGTGAAGTGTTGGTGGACAAATTAACTAGTAGAATTCGTTCATGGAAAGCCAGCAAGCTTTCTTATGCGGGGAGACTCCAGTTGATCTCATCGGTGTTGTACTCTTTGGTGCAATACTGGATGAACATTTTCATTTTGCCTAAAAAGGTTTTAGACCTTATTCACAAGATTTGTTCAGACTTTTTATGGCATGGGGAAGGAACAGGGAGAGCGAAAGTGGCTTGGGATTTGATTGCTCTTCCTAAACGAGAAGGGGGTATGGGTTTGAAAGATCTAGGAAGTTGGAACATGGCATGTATGGCAAGGTTATTATGGCTTATCTTGCTGCAGAGCGGTAGCTTCTGGGTTGCTTGGCTGCAGCAGCACAGGCTGAAGGGGAGATCCATCTGGAATCTGCCTCAATCTCAGTCTGGTTCATGGATTTGGAGGAAGCTTCTCAAATCCAGAAGCTGGTTCCAGTTTAGATTAGACGCTGATGCAGAAGGCAGAGTGCTCTGGGAAGGAAGCCCGATGCCAAGATTCGTGGTGCAGAAGATTTGGGCCTCGATCAGGCCTAAAGGCGCTCGTGTGGAGTGGTGGAAACTGATATGGAATAAACACGTGATTCCAAGAAACAGGGTGGTAGCTTGGTTAATAATTTTGAACAGGATTACTACGCGGGACAAACTTAAGCAATGGGGCAAACTATCTGATTCTGTGTGTGTTTTGTGTCAGGCAGAGGAAGAAACTCGAAGCCACTTATTCTGCAGGTGTACTTATGCGTTGGCTTTCTATGCAGTGGTTTTTGACGTGCACAGGTGGCCGAATGACTGAGACAGCCTCTTGAGTTGGTTATGTCGTAGATGCAATAGAGAAGGCAGCAAAGGACTGATTTGGAGTGCGATCTGGTGCTGGTGTGTGAGTATTATTTGGAAGGAGCGGTGTGCTCGGATGTACAGGGATGAGCAGCGATCGGTGGAGGAGACAAAGAGGCGATGGATTGCTGATTTTAATCTTTTTGTGATGGGAAGATCGGATTTCCGGTTAGAAATTTTGAAGATTCCCCATTTGAGTAGCCTTCTATATGCAGTATAGGTAGTTTTTGAGAGGTTTCTGTTTATGGTTTGTAAACAGATTGTAGAGCATTTGGCTCTTTGTTTTTTGAGGGTCCTGTTTTGTCAGGCTGAGCTGAATAAAAGTTTCGATCATGGTTGTCATGCCGGCCGGCGTGCCACCGGTTGTACCGGGTTCAACCGGTACCGGTCATAAAACCGGCGTGACACCACCGGTATGACCGGCATGATAATCTCTAAGTAAAATGACTTTATTTTAGAGAATTTAATTGATAAAAATTATTTTATGAGTATAAAAGTTAAATATTGATGTTATTTGTTGGATTCAAGTATAAATGTTTAGGTATTGACGTTAAATGTCTGAGTATTTATAATTTTATTTGTAATATTGACCGGCATGAACCGGCACAAACCGGTATGTGCCACCGGTTGAACCATTTCACTTGCTAAACCGGCACACTGGCATAAACCGGTTTGACAACCTTGGTTTCGATAATTACCGAAAAAAAAAACATTTCACTATCCCGCCGAAAATTCCCTCCTAAGTCCTAACACCAAAATTGAAAATTTTCCATATCTATCATTTGGCCGCCCTTTTCTTCTAAATTCTGATCTTCCTCTCGTCTTCTTCCTCTCTTCCTTCTTCATCTTTCAGAGAAACAAGTGAGACTGATGGGGAAAGTGATAAGAAAAGAGAACTACCGCCGCCGCATCAACATCTGCGCCATCCGCGGTCTGTCCCTGCTGGTTCCTCGTCCGGAAGCAGCGATGCTCGCGACTCCAATTCAAGATCCAGAAGATTCTTTTGTAGCCGATGAAGCTAGGGAATCTTTGTTTGATTTCTTTGATATGCGATTCCAACTCAAGGCTTGTCCTTCTGGTTTTCAAGCTCGAGTTACGCAGGTGAGTAAAATTGTTGGGAAATTCTTTGTTGTGTTGATGGGAAATGATTTCGTAACAATGGAGTTTGAGGGTACGGAAGGGGCGGAGCTCATCGACTCGGTTCTCGACGTCGTGATGAAGGAAACAGAGAATTGCGACTGCTTGCAAGGTAACTTCCTCTATTTATGAGGATAATTCCGCTATTTTGGGTGGGGTTTCCTTTTGCTTGAATTAGGGTTTGTTTAAGCATCACTCTGGTTGACATCATGGTCAATTGGGACAAAAACCTGTGTCAAAGTCTCGATTTATTATTCTCCCTGCTTGATAAATTGATGGTTGAACGCGTCTGGTGTTAACTTTTTCGAAATCGTGCTTAGGGAATTCTGGATCTAAAGCTTCTTGTAATTGTACTATCATCTATATCTGTGGTCCAAATAGAACTGTTATTGTTTGCTCAGTTTCGAGGAATTGCAGTAGATTGGCTGTGGTCAATTCTCTTGGTGTACTGGTCTTTCTAATTCCTAAACCCTGAGTGAACCCTGCACTTCTGCGTTCACCTGTCTAGTTATACCTCATTAAGGATTCATAGCACTTGGTTATCTTACTTCTTTTACCAGAGAGAGATACTTCATTATGCAGTTCATGTACCTAAATTAGTTTTCTCATTTTGTGATGTTTGGTTTGTTCATGTATATAACACTGGAAGCCACTGCAACTTAATAGTCCCATTAATGACATAATAAACAGGTATTGGCCATGGGCTTTGATTCGTGAGCTCTTTTATCCAGGTGCAATTTTTTTCTCATACAGCTGCCATTCTATTTGTCGTATACTTTCACTTCTCAGAATCTGATCCATTGCAACTTCAAAAACTATCGAAATGGTGATACCGTTGTGCCGCTCTTCTCCATTCCATGCAGTTCAATAGTAGAAAATCCTTGTTCAAACCTCCTTCTGTGCTCTTGTTCGCCGCATGTGACCAAAGTAAACAACAGAGCATCTCAGTTTTGGTGCCAAAACCTTACATTAGAGGTGATCAATCTTCTTCTTTTGAAAAGAAACAAGAAATGTTTCTATCAAGGGACTAGTAGACCAACATATCATTAGGCCTATTCTCTGCCAAACATTTCTTGGTGTAATTTCCTTGATTTCAAAAGTTCACGTCATGATTGGGTATCATTTACAGATCATCCTCTTATTTTCAATGCATCATTTGATTAATTACATGATGAATTCTGGACGTCTTCTATTATTAGGAAAGTTCCTCATAATAACACAATATATTTGGATTTATGTGTACAAGGACTGGATCTAGTGATGGTATTTCTAATACAAAGCCATTCACTGGGTGGCCATGGTTGATAGATGTTTGCCATTGTCTATTTTACAATCTGCTTGGTCCTGGATTAGTGGGTTTTTTAGTTTGGCCATAGCTACAAGTGATAATCTTATTAATGTGTCTACGAAATGTGCAGTGGCTCACAGCCGTGGAGTTCGGACTCTTGATGGGGTGTCATCCTCTTCTTGGAAATTTGGATGTCTCCGTCAACCAATCAACAAGTTTAAGGCTTAGAGAAAAGAGTAATGGTTGACGTTCATGGAAAGAATCAAGAACTCTTGGATCTTACTGTAACTGATACCAATGGCTATGCTGTAAGTCTATTCAATCAGCTGCCAGAAAGGTAGCTCGACCGGAGGAGTCAGCTATACCTGTGGGTGCTCAAAGAGGCGAAGTAGTACAGACAACACAGGTAGTAATGAATATATTTGACACTGCAACGCCGGGTCCTCTTGTAATCCTCCATAATCACTCATCATTGACATCTTTGAGAAGCTAGCTAACTCATAAATCTTCAAAGTGATTCAAGGAGAACGAGTTGAGATCCAAACATTCAGGAGATGGGAGCTTCTAGGAGACCTCTCCAAGCATGTTAATTGTGAAGCTACAAAGGCGATAATTCAATTATATAGCTCTCGATTGAATTCATTTCTAGTTAGGGTTTTTCTTATAGGAGTAAGGGTTTAGGATTAGCCTATACATTGTTCTCTGTTGTTATTTGGATGTATAGACCTTTTAGTAGGCAATGTCTATGTATAAATATTAAGATGACTCATTTGGAATTATTATTATTATTATTATTATTATTATTATTATTATATTATTATTATTATTATTATTATTATTATTATTATTATCCTTGTATATCTTTTCAACAAACTTGAATTTATTTGTTAGAAAAATTATTATTATATCTCAATGAAATCTCATCACAAACAAATCTATCTGTTTTTATAACTAATAGGGCTAATACTATAGGTGTCAAAACATAGCCCGACCCGATCAACCCGACTCGCAACCCGACCGCAATCCGAATTAACTAAAAGTCAACAACCCGTAACCCGCCCAACCCGCAATCGGATTGACCCGCAACCCAACTAACCCGACTGACCCGCAACCCGATTAACCCGCAACCCGACTGACCCGGAACCCGATTGACCCGAACCTGACTAACCCGTAACCCGACCGACTCAACCCGAATTTCATCTAATCCACTTGAATAATTATAAAAATATACAATACATAGTTTTTCAAAATAAAGTTTTTCATTATAAAACTTAAGTAAAATTATTTTTTCATTTCGTATGGGAAATTTAAAAAATATGAAACTCACTTGATATGACGTATTTTAAGAAAATTACAAAAATTGAAACATGAAGGTCACTTGAGATCATGACAATATTAATATAATATAATATAAAAATTAAAATTTTGGTTAATTTAACTATTCAATAAAATTATCAATTAAATATAAATAAAGTAAAGTAATGTATTTGGTAATTTGATGATTTTAAATGAAGAGGGAAATTTTGGTGTATTCAAGTTTTTGGGAAGAGAAAGAAGAGGGAAATTTGGTTCTTTGAATTTTTTGGAAAAGAAACAAGTGGGAATTTTGGTGGTTTTGATATGTGGGAAGAGAAAGAAGTGGGAAAGTTTGATTCTTTTGATTATGAAAGAGAAATAAGGAGGGAAACTTTTGAGTTTTTAACTTTTTGTAGAAGGAAAGAAGAGGGTAATTTGGTTCTTTCAATTTTATGAAAGAGAAAGAGGAGGGAAAATTGAGTTTTCTAATATCTGGAAGTAGAAAGAAGGAGGGAAATTTTAGTATTTTTGTGAAAAGAAAGAAGGAAACAAATTTGGTGTTTTCAATTTTTTGGTGTTTTCATAATTTTGGCTTTTGAAATATGAATCTTTAACTTTTATATGGAGGGCATGACTAGTTAATATATATATGTATGTATGTAATTGTTTATGGGCTAATAAATTAACCATTAGTTACAACAATTTATACTAAACTTGATAAGTAATCTTTGACGGTTCGTTGTTTAGGATATAAAGTATATGGTTAGGGTATAGGGTATCAGGTACATATGGTTTAGGGTGTATATGGTTAGGGTATAAGATATTGATGGTTTTGACGGTTCCAAGTTTTTTATTAACATATGTTTACTTGAAGTCATTTGAAGTCTTTAACGGCAGGAGATCCCTTTTTAATTTATGTTTATGGTACGTGGTTAGGATACAAGGTATATGGTGTAAAGTATAGGATATATGGTTAGGGTATAACAATTAGCAAATATCACTTTTTATCTATGTTTTGAAAATCAAAGGATGAATTTCACTTTTAAATTAACTATACTAGCAAAATCACAACTCAAAGACATATGGTTAGGGTATATGGTATAGGTTATGTGGTTAGTGTATAATATATTGATGGTTTAGGGTATACAATCAACAACATATACTAACTTAATATTGTTGATTGAGGGTAAGGCTAAGTGTATATGATATATGCTATTGAGTAAGTTATGATTGAAGTCACAATAATTTTACTAAATTTGATAGCTAATCTTTAATGATTCAATTTTTAGGATAATTCGAACAATTTTACAAATAACTCGTTTGGCAACAGTTTACTGAAGTTATTTGCGCATTGAGTTATTTCAAAATAACTTCTTTTATCACTATGCTTTTGCCAAATACCACACGCCAAATACCAGATTTGCATGGTTATACTAAACGAGATACTTTAATCCAATTACTACTGAACTAATACTAAAATATCAAATAAACAATTAATGGTGTCTTTTGGTTGCAAATATTGATATCACCATTACTATTAGCTATAATACTTTACCAATTATGATTAATTACATAACAAGTTTGCAAGTCATACAAATTGATTTAATATTTTGACTAGTTTTTTTTTTTAAAATAAAGAATATATATACGAGGTAGAAATAAATTGGTTAAAAAGTTGAGAAAATATTTTAAATTAGTGTAATAAAATGTGTAAGTTGGTAATGAGTAATGAGTTAAGTTACTTGATGCGCTGGCCAAACAACCCGAAACCCGATCCGCCCGCAACCCGCCCGACCCCAAACCCGATGAACCCGCAACCCGATTTGCCCGCAACCCGATTGAACCCGAACCCGATGAACCCGCAACCCGACTAACCCGCAACCCGTTTGAACCCGAACCCGATGAACCCGAACTCGATGAACCCGCAACCCGTTTGAACCCAGCCCGAACCCGCCCGAACCCGCCCGATTGACACCTATAGCTAATACCACTGGAAATACCAACCTTTAGCGAAAGTGCCATTTATATTACGTAATTTTCGATATGACAATTGTATACCAGCCGTTAAGTTTTCCGTTAGTTGTTAACAAAAAATACAGTCAGCAATGGCGTGGCAGCTGATGTGGAAAATTGTAATAAAAAATAAATGTAAAAAACAACCCAAAAAAATAAAAAACAAAAAACAAAATCAAAAGCAAAGAAGGAAAATGTCTTCTTCATCTTCCTATCTCTCTGGATCTCTCCCCTTCGCCAACCTCTTCTTCTAGGCTCTGTTTTCGGCTGCAGATTGGGGGAATGATTTTTTTTTTGTTTATGAGATTTGTGTTAGGACAACCCTAAATCGATTAATCCTCCCACTGTCGAGAATAGACACCGCCTCCCCTTGTCCTCCAAATCCGACACGAACCCTAAATCCTTTCCGTTTCAGTTCTCCCAAATCCTGACCTAGCCACCTTCTTCCCAATCTTTAATCCGCCGGTGGTAGTTAATCGGAATCGCAGGCTATTTCTTCTTCCTCTTCCTCTTCCTCGTTCTCAAGCCACCCAATTGAGCCATCCCACCAGCCACGCCATTGTCATCGATCCACCATCGCCGAATGAGAAGCTCGACTCACCGAGAAGGCTGGTTTTGGGAGATTGAAGAGGAAGAAATTCAGAGGCAGGGAGAGGCGTCCTTCTTACAGCAGCGGTAAAAAGAAAGGGTGGGTCATTCTAATAGTCTAATCCTCACAGCGGCTCCCACCGTCTCTCCGTCCTCCACTCCCTTCACCTTGATTCTCGCCTTCCCTCAAGCGCAGATCCAGAACACCACAAAAGGGAATCTGTGGCGGTGATAAGCGTCATCGATGCTACTCTGTTTTGCGGGGCGTTGAAGAGGAGACAAGGAGCCGGAGACAGAGGAAGCTCCTATCTGTTTCAATTGGAGGTGACCCTCCTAATTCCTTGATTTTGGACGAGGAAGCTTCTGTTTCAAAAGCTATCGTGGGATATGAATTGAGATTGGGTAATGATTTTTTCTGTTTTGTTTATGGGATTGAGTGAGAGAGATAAGGTCGATCGACGACTGCAGATCGAGAGAGGCAGAGGCAGAGAGATGTGATTGACGCCGACGACGTCTCAGGCCACTCCCCTACCCGATTGAGCCATCTCGCTATCTTAGTCGTTGCCATCGATCCACCATCGCCAAAGGAGAAGCTCAACCCGCCGGAGAAAGCTGGGTATGAGATATTGAAGCAGAAGAAAGCTGGATTTTGGAGAAAGCTGGGTTTGGGAGGGTTGAATTAACCTTCCTTGGCACCCGACGACATCTTCTTCCCCAACATAATAAAGCTCGCTTCTTCTTCCTCGCCGGCGGCGGCAGCGGGCTCTCCCCTAGCTGGGTGTGGTCAAGGAAAGGGTGGGTGTGTCAAAGAAAAGTTAATTTTCTATTCAATTATTAATTATTAAATAATTAATTTAAATGTTAAATAATTAATTTTTTATTAATTTCCAACATGGCATCTATGTGTTGTCTACGTGAACAACACACAGGCGCCACTTCATCAATGGTCAGATAAAGGTTGACCACCGTTAGGTCAACAGTTAGATCTAACGGTCAACAGAATTTTGCGTAACACAGATGACACAAACCCCTAATACGTTGGAATATTTTTGTGTTTATTGAAAATACGTAATATAAATGACACTTTCGCTAAAGGATGGTATTTCCAGTGGTATTAGCCCTAACTAATACTAGGAACAAAAGTATTTGTCTCTAAAATAATGATTTGCCTCTATAAATAATATTAGAGACACTAGAATTTGTCTCTCTATATCATTATAGAGACAGATATTTGTGTTTCTAAAATAGGATATGAATACAAAAAAATTAGTCTCCAAAAGTAGACATTAGATACTAAAATATTAGTTGCAGTATCTCCAACCAACAATATATAACATTTGCCTCTACATTTGTCTCTATAGAGCTATAGCAACCGCATTACATGAGACAATTGTGTAATTTGCTCTAACCAGGTTGCATGGTCGGAGGTCTTCACTTCTTCTCTTTCCTCCTCCAACTTCTCGCATTTGCATCCCAAATTTGATTGCAATCTCATCCGATGTGCTTTTCTCCCCCTCGGCCTTTATGAAAAAGCTCAATGAGCTTAGGGTTTGTAGAAAAAGGAGAAGAGAAGAAGAAGGCGGTATGGGAAATGGAAAATCCGCAAGAGAGCAGATCTCCTTTGTACTCTGTATTTATACTAAGTGAAAGAGTAAAGTTACAGCAAACAGTGAAAATGGAAATGTTTGATAAACCGAAATTCAAAAGACAGTAAAAATAAATGCCACTTGTCTTCTGTTTGATTGGCCTCCTTCGCTCCACCTAACGGTCAACCAAAGACCTCCACGACGTCGCTTCAATCTTCCGCTTGAGTTAGATGGAGGGGAAGGCAGAAACGTGAAACGTTTCTGCCTGAGTTGTTGCAGTACATTTTTCTTCTTCCTTCTTCCTCTGCCATCAAGGAGCTCTGCAACTAGCCGTTGAGCTTCATTCTTCTTCCTGGATTGATACGCCCCCGCAAGCTGGCGAGTAGGCATTGAATACTCCTAGCTTGTTGAGAAGAAACTTCAGTCGATAGCGAGTAACACCTTTGGTAAAGATATCTGCAATTTGATCATTTGTTCTCACATGGTTCAGTTTGATCAGTCCAGACTTCAATCTTTCTCTTGTAACGTGACAATCGATTTCAATGTGTTTCATCCTCTCATGAAACACTGGATTCTCCGCGATGTGCAGGGCTGATTTGTTGTCACAGAAGAGAGGGATTGGAAGCGGTACTTGGACACCCATTTCAAGCAACAAATTCCTGAGCCACTGCACTTCACAAACCACTTGTGCTAATGCTCTGTATTCAGCTTCAGAGGATGAACGAGAGACAATAGTCTGCTTCTTGGTCTTCCAAGTAATTAAAGAAGTTTCCAGAAACGTACAATAACCAGTCAAGGACCTTCTTGAATCAGGGCAACTAGCCCAATCAACATCACAAAAACCTGACAACTCCAATTTTGAGTCTGACCTGAAAATCAGACCTTGTCCAGGTGTATGTTTGAGATACCTGATGAACCTATGTGCTGCTTGAAGATGTTCAACAGTTTGTGTTCCTTGAAACTGTGCTAACTGTTGAACAACATAGGTGACATCTGGTCTGGTGATAGTGAGGTAATGCAGCCTCCCTATCAACCTTCTATAAACTGTAGGATCAGGTAGAGCTTCCCCTTGTGTTGCTGTCAACTTCAAATTGCAATCCACAGGGGAAAGGCAACCCTTTGCCTCAAGATATCCTATATCAGTGATCAACTCCAAACAATACTTCTTCTGACTCGAGGAAATCCCCTTGTGGTCTCTTAGAACTTCCAGTCCCAAGAAATAGCTCATTTGGCCAAGATCCTTTACCTTGAACTCCCTTCCAAGGAACAACTTCAATTGTTCTATATCACCCAAATAACTTCCTGCAATAAGAATGTCATCCACATATACTAGGACAACCACAATCCTACCTTGAATCCATCTCACAAACATAGAGTAGTCTAAGGATGTTTGGGAATAACCATTCTTCATCAATGCAGTTGTTAATTTGGCAAACTATTGTCTGCTGGCTTGCTTGAGCCCAGAGATTTCTTTGTAAACAAGTCCCTGCCCCCTAGGAACATTTGCTCCAGGAGGTATTTCAAGGTAAACTTCCTCTTCTAAGTCTCCATGCAGAAATGCATTGGAGACATCCATCTGATGGATGTGCCAGTCCTTAGATGCTGCTACTGCTAACAAAGTTTTCACTGAGTTAATCTTAGCAACAGGTGAATAGGTGTCTAGGAAGTCAATCCCATAGATTTGTGTATACCCCTTAGCCAATACTCTGGATTTGAACCTCTCAATGGTTCCATCAGACCTATGTTTGATCTTGAACACCCATTTAGAACCCACTGCCTTCTTCCCTTCTGGTAGCTTGACCACTTCCCAAGTTTGATTTTCCTCTAGTGCTGCTAGCTCTTCATTGCAGGCTTGATTCCATCTGGGATCTTTACAAGCTTCTGCATATGAGGTAGGTTCTTCATTTAGCATAACACTGAGTGCAAAAGATCTCTGGGAAGGGGTAAGTTGTTCATAGGAGAAATGCTGCCAGACATGGTGTTTTGAACAGGATGCAACAATGTTCACATGATAATCCTTGTGCCATGCTGGAACACTGCGAGTTCTAGTGGACTTCCTGAGATATTCAGTCTCATCAGAGGCATTATCATCAGGAAAGACTTCTATCTCAGCATCCTCCCCCCCCCCCCCCCAGAATGCAAACCAGGAACCTCTGAGTGTGTGGAAGAAGAGGGTTGTGTAGGAGAAGGGACTGGTGTTTGGTTGGGTAAGGTAGCAGGAGAGTGAGAGGTACTGGGTGCATTATGGGAAGTATTAGAAGGAGATGTAGTAGAGGAAGAAGGAGTGGTTGGTATAGGTGACAGAATAGGATAGATGGGGTGTGAAACAAGGACAGGAGTGGTGGAGGATGAGGAGGAAGTGAGAAAGGGAAAGATTGTCTCATAGAAAGTGACATCTCTAGAGACAAAGAAGGTGTGTGAGTTGAGATCATAGAGTTTAAACCCTTTGATTCCAGTAGGGAATCCAATGAAAATACACTGTTTGGCTCTACTGTCAAACTTGGTTCTGTCTCTATGTAGAGTGGCAGCATAACAAAGACAACCAAATGTTCTTAACCTAGATAGACTTGGTGGTTTGTGATAGAGTAATTCATAGGGTGATTTATTGTCAAGGACAGAAGAAGGGATCCTGTTAATAAGGTATACTGCGTGTAAAATACAATCACTCCAGAATTGGAGAGGGAACCAGACTGGAATCTTAATGACCTATCCACATTCAAGATGTGTTTGTGCTTCCTCTCAACCCTAGCATTTTGCTCAGGGGTTTCAACACATGACAACTGATGTTCAATCCTATGAGCAACATAAAACTCAGCCATATGGAATTCACCTCCTTGATCACTTCTAATGACCTTGACAGATTTGGAGGACTGCTTAGACACCATCACACAAAAAGACTCCAATAGATTACTAGCTTCTGATTTGTACTTCATCAAATATGTCCAAACACCACGTGAGTAGTCATCCACAATGGTAAGAAAATAAGAGTATCCCTCATGGGATTTAACAGCAAGTGGCCCCCAGATGTCCACATGAATAAGAGAAAAAGCATCTTGTGCATGAGATGAACTAACTGGGAAAGGAAGCCTTTTGTGTTTGGCAAAGTGACAGGTTTCACAATAAAAAACAGGTGAGCTATTACAAGGTACTAAGAGTTTTTCTTTCTCCCTATGAAGATGTCCTAGCCTCCAGTGCCATAACTCAATGTTTAGTGGTGTGAAGTTGTAAGTGGCTGCTGCCAGAGGTTGTGATTGAGAAGGTGGAGAGGTCTTGAAGCTTAGTTGATAAAGCCCTCTAATCTGCTTTGCCAAACCAGTCCTGCTGTGGGTCATGAGGCCCTGAATTTGGCAAGAGTCAGATTCAAAGTGTAAGGAGATGGGTAAATCATCTGTAAGTTTACTAGCAGAGACTAGGTTAAAAGAAAAACTTGGCACTAGGAGGACATTATCTAGGATCAAACCAGTAGGCAGTTTAACTCTTCCTATGTGACTAACAGCCACTTTGGTGCCATTTGGCAGGACAACAAACTGGTTGTGGACAGGAGTGGACTTTATGAAAAGATCCAGGGTGCAAGCTATGTGATCAGAGGAACCTGTGTCAAGTATCCATATGCCTACCAATCCGTCTGTGTGATGTTGTAAGTGAGAGGAAAGAATGTACTTACCGGCACTGTTGGGAAAATGAGGAATGTGCTGAGATACTGAGAAGGCATGATGATTCATTGATGGTGATGCTGGTGGAGAGGGACTAGGAGAAGAAGTAACTGAATTCAAAAGGAACTTGAGTTTGTTCAGTTCTTCTGGAGACAAACCAAAACTCCCACTAGAGTTCCTGGTATCAATGCTTGGCTTAGCATCTGAACTAGCAGAGTCACTGTCAGTGGAAGAATCACTCTATGAGACAGCTGCAACCACATTTCCACCTGTCATGCGAGCCTTCTTACGTTTCAGGCTATATCAGTCTTCAATGTTGTGGTTCTCTTACTTACAGTATCGACAGAATTTCTTGCCATCTGATGCTTCTGAAGGTCTCTGCTGGCTCCCTGAGTTGCCTTGAACAGCAATGGCAACACTATGAACGCCCTTTGCACCTCCAGCCTTATCACCTTTTATCTTCTGCTTATGTTGCAGAAGATCATTCACTGCATTCTCCACTGTTGGCAGTGGCTTCATCATCAATAATTGAGTATGCACTACCTCATACTCAGGTCTTAAGCCTTTTAAGAAACGTATCAGGTATTCAACTTCCTGTTTCTGTTTGAATGCTTCCACAGCTGCACATAGGCGGGTTCTCTGGGCCACACAATCACATTCAACGATGGGATTGAATTGGAGGTTCTCCTCCCACAAACCCTTGAACGCAGTATAGTACTGTGTGATGTTCTAGGTTCCTTGCTTACAAGCAATGATCTGATCTTGGAGATTGGCTAACTTAATAGCATTTGGGAGATCAAACCTCCTCTTCAAATCTTCCCAAAGGACCCTTAGCATTCTCATGTTGCATTACACTACGCCTTATTTCCTTTTCGATTGAGTTAAGAATCCATCATAAGACTAGTGTGTTTGAGGCATCCCATAACCCATAACTGGGATCTTCAGCAGCAGGCATTGTAATACTACCATCAATAAACACTATCTTGTGCTTAGTCTTCAAAGCCATACGCATGGCTCGTTGCCACATTTGATAGTTAGATCCATCGAGGTTTTCAGAAACAATTGTCTGGGAGATGTTCTCATTTGGGTTAATGTAAAAGGGGTTACCAAATTGAAGATCTCCACGGCCATTGTTGTTGCTATTGTAAGTCGTTCCACTGGTCTGCGCACCAAAAGATCCAAAAGGAATAGCTCCACTACCAGGAGTAGTTTGTGGGGGTGTGTTTGCCATCACGAATCACTGGATCTGGTCCAGCTCTGATACCATATGAAAAAGCTCAATGAGCTTAGGGTTTGTAGAAAAAGGAGAAGAGAAGAAGAAGGCGGTATGGGAAATGGAAAATTCGCAAGAGAGCAGATCTCCTTTGTACTCTGTATTTATACTAAGTGAAAGAGTAAAGTTACAGCAAATAGTGAAAATGGAAATGTTTGTTAAAACGAAATTCAAAAGACAGTAAAAATAAATGCCACTTGTCTTCTGTTTGATTGGCCTCATTTGCTCCACCTAACGGTCAACCAGAGACCTCCACCACGTCGCTTCAATCTTCCGCTTGAGTTAGATGGAGGGGAAGGCAGAAACGTGAAACGTTTCTGCCTAAGTTGCTGAAACGTTTCTTCCTTCTTCCTTTGCCATCAACGAGCTCTGCAACTAGCCGTTGAGCTTCATTCTTCTTCCTGGATTGATAGCCTTCACTGTCCATTGCCTCTCTCTCAGCCTTCATCTACTCTCGGATCTATGTTCGATTTCCAAAAATGAGGTCGGCGGCGGCGGATGCATGTAAGAGCAGTGGCCACGAGGCCATGGCGGCGCTGCGTGTACGACGTAGAGAGGCGATAAGGGAAAGCAGGCTGTAGATTTCTTTTGCTCCTCCACCAAGTACGGTGTAAATTGCATGCGCTGGAGTAGGACCAAGCTTGGGTTTTAATGTGTTTGACCTAGGTTTAGCAAGTTGGAAGAGGTGGCCGCCCCTAATTTTGATTGAAGTTGTGTTCTTTTTAATTGATAGGAAACAGAGCATTGAAGAACAGAGAGAAGAGTTTTTCTGGGAATAAGAACTAGTAGAGAATCGATTATGGCTGGGACCTGGGACTGGGGAGGGTAAATGGTGTCGCCAAATCGAGGGCAGTATTGGTATTTGCCTTAAATATCACATGTCAAATACCACATATATAGGATTTAGCCAAACGAGATTATTAGTCCTAATTTTCATAGAAATAACACAGAAATACCACTTCGACAATTAATGGATTATTTCAACTTTAAAATAACTAATTACCCAATCACCCATCCAAACGACCCCTCAATTAAAGGATTTGATCTAATTTACAATGAAATGGATTGAATTGGATAGGATTCATTGATTTTCTCACTTCTGACCTGATCATACAAAAAATGAATATTGAAAAATATGAATTGAATTGATATTTGTACGGAAGCGAAGCGGACTGTTGCACAAAGTGATATCCTGTGTTGCATACTTTTCTAACCCATTCGATGGTAGTTACCAGTTACAACGAATAGGGGTGGAAATTGGGGTGGGTGTGGTTATCCGCCCCACATTTTGCGGGTACCCACACCCACAAATTTACAATTATGCTATCCACAACCCGCACCGCAGTGGTTAGTGGGTAACCACTACCCACTGTGGGTTTGTGCGGGTTGGGTGTGGTTACCCGCAAAAATCCATATTTGCAAGCGTAGAGTTCTAGTCGCCACTAACGTATTTGTTGTTCGTAACTATACTATAGTGATATACACTTGTGTTGTTCGTGGAGATACAATTTTGTACATCGATCTTACTCAACGTGAAGATTTTTTCTTTTTGAGTTTGGTATTCAACTTTTGTGTCAGAGAGCTGTGATTTCATATTTCCCCGACTAGGGGTGAAATATGACATTTAAATATGATCTTTTATTTTTTTCACACAAAAGCAAAAACATACTGATAAAAGTTACAAAAGGTGTTCACTTTTAATGAATTGATTATTCTCCACTCTATCGATTATAGTGTTTTATAAACGAAAAAATTCTTACATAAAACTGATTAGGTGTCTTTTTTATTTGGTGGCTACTTTAATTTTTATCCTCACACTTTTCACATACTATTATATTATAAAGTTAATTCACTAAATAAATATAATTAGTGTGGGTATTGTGGATTAATCGCGGTGGGCAGTGGATAACGGGAACGGATCAGGTCAGTAATCTTATGGTGAGTAACCATGAGTAACCCGTCCACATCAGCATCCTTCTCTCTCTTGGAAAGCCTTTAATTTTCCCCTCTTTAATCTTTGACGGACGATTTCTCACTCGTTTTAAGTCGAAATTTAATTTTTTTTACATAGTTAGATCAGATTAATTGTGCTCTTCAAAATGATATCCATTTTGATATATTTTTCGAACAAAAAAAATTGAGCCATTTTTACCAGTCTATACCATATGATATTGACTGGTATTGAAATAAGAGCATACCTATGGTTTGAAAAGCGTACCATGGTAATATGAACAAACCAAGACTGTAGGATGGTTGAACACATGATAGTAGAAATATATTAACTGTCATTTACGACTTTTAACATTGTGTACCATAAGATACCACCCCGTACCAGGGTGGTATTATATGGTATTGTGTGGTATTTTTTGGTCCTGTAATTTGTTCACCCATAAATTTGTAGATCCAATAGATCATAATGAACTCGTCCCTTCTATCCAAACGTTTTCAAAAATGAATTAAAAACGAAGAAAATACCATATGGTATGCAGTTGGTACCGAGAGGCCAGAATTTTTTGTTCTAAAAAAATATTGAAAATTGATCTCATTTTGTAGAGCACGATGAACTCGTTCCACCTGTGCAAAAAAAAAATTAAAATCCGAGTTAAAACGAAAAAAGATATGAGACGATTAAGAAAGCTAAGGGAAAATAAAAATGGTCTTTAATTCTCCATCCTTAGATCTGAATTTTCTAAATGAAGGGTGCAGATTTGGTTATTGATGGATGCATAACACATGGTTATGCACACTATTTTGAGCCGTGGATAACCACTAACCACAAAAATCGTTATTTTACTACCCACACCCAATCCACTACCCACAACTTGTGAGTATGGTTACCCACAATAGGTGCGGGTTGGTGCGGTTTGCGAATTATCCACAACTCGCAACCCAAACTTCCACCCCTAAGACTCTCCACAATGTAAGTGAGTTTAGAGGGAAAAGTGGGAAAATAACCCACAATGTGGGTGGGAAAAGTGGAACATATGGAGAAAGGGGGAAAATTGGTTTAGCAAACAAATGGTGGATGCAAGAGAGGGAGGAGGGGCCCACTGTCGGGCCCGCATATAATTTATTTTTTAATTTTTTTGTTCTAATTTATTTGTTTTAATGGTTTTGTTTTATTGTGAGGTATTTTTATTGGTTTTATCCGCAACGGACAGAATTAACGACGTTATATTTAATTAGTAATGAAAAAATTATATCGAAATGTTCGTATTAATTAATTATCACTAACTACGTAAACATCTTGATCATTATATAAAAGTAAAGTGAGGAAATCAACTGTAGATTGATTTTAGCAACAAAGTGCTAAACTAATTATCCACTTTTCTTTATAAAAAAAAAATTTATCCACTTTTCTCACCCTGACAAAAACATCCATTTCCCCATTTTTCCTCCCACCCAAATGTGGATGGTCTAACAACGAAGGTAATTTATTGGTGAAAGCACCTTTCTTGGTTCTCCGAACTACCTAAGTCCGATCAGCGTGGCATTACTTTCCGCCAAGATCGGACGCGAAGAATTTAACATTTCAGAAAGGAGTCCTCAAGCTGTTTGACAAAATGCCTAGCCGAGACGCAACCGCACCACGCCCGATCGAAGAGCTGCCTGGTACTTCCCAAAACTGCATATTTCAATTTTATACAACTCTTTCATCCGCACACAAATCATGGCTGTAACAATTTCTCTCCCTATATACGTGTAAGAAGAAAGAAATAAGAAATCAGACCGACAATGGAAGGAAAAAAGAATGAAATGGGAGGATGAAATCTCGAGTATCTACGTTCATGAACAATCACCGGGTTCTACAGAGTCGTCGTTGATGAGAAGGGAGAAGAAAATGTAGATACTGGCCGTGAGAGATGATGGCACGAACACTTTGGATCGTGGATCGCCATTTTTCTCGTCATATCAAGCTTAGTGCAGTAAACGCAATACCTGCCTCCAAACTCATCGTAGCTTTCTTCTTCTTCCTCGTCGTCGTCATCGAGGTCTGTGTTGTACTCCTCGGTCATGTCTTCCGGCTGAACCCTTCTCCAGTCATTGCTCGTGTAGTATCTGAAGCCGCAAAGAGGAAGAAGCACCATGAGAATTCTGTCGATGTGGTCGTCGCACCACCTAGTTGCTTTCTTGCTAAAAATCAATGGTGCCATCACAGTTGCTGCAGCAGCTCCAAACCCTATTCCAGGTATTATGAACTCCCAATCGAGGCTTTGTTGCCCTGATCCCTGCTTTCTCCCTGAAGGAGGCGGGGTGTTGCTATCTGAGCAGGATTTCATCAAAGGACTGCCGCATAAACCTGGATTACCTTGGTATGAAGTGTTGTCAAATGTTAGGAACTGCCTGCCTGTAGGGATTTTTCCGAGGAGATTATTATTTGACAGGTTCACGAACGAAAGGAATGTCAGCTCTGTGAGTTCCTGCGGGATTTCGCCACTGAGCTTGTTATCCGAGAGATCCAGTGACTCCAGCTGTGAGATGTTGCCGAATACTGCTGGAATCTGACCAGTGAAACCGTTGTGGGAAAAATTGAGGATGTAAAGTGCATTCAATTGACCCACGGCTGCAGGTATTGGCCCATCAAAATTGTTGCTTGAGAAATCAACTGAAGTGAATACTGTTAGGACCTTCACCAGTTCCATTTCAAGGCCCTTGCTGGTAACTGTTATGGAATCTTGATAATACAATTGAGTCAACTTGAAAGGCTCGTATTTGAGGTGATTGTGCGTTTCATTTCCATCTCCAACCATCATGGCTTGCCATGTCGCTAAGCACTGACCATTTAGGGGACCAGAAAAATTGTTGAAGGCTAGGTCGACAATCTGAAGCTTTTGCCAAGTACCAGGAAGATGTGGGCATCCAGTGCTTCCATGAAAGAGGTTGTTCCTCAGGATAAGGACACGCAAACTGGAATTGTTCTTCAGAAGACAAGGGAAGACATCATCAATCATGTTGTTGCCAAGGTCTAACACTTCTAATGCTGTGCAGTTACTCAAGGACTTTGGAACCCTCCCATTTAGCTGGTTCAAACTGAGATCAAGAGTCTGCAATGAACATGAAGCTTGGAATGTGTCAGGTATGCTTCCGTGAACCTTATTGCCCCTCAGGTTTAAGACAGCAAGCGTCCCAATGTTCTCCATTAAACAGCTTGGAATTGTACCGGTCAAGGTGTTGTTCGACAGATCAAGGACTTGGAGATACGAAGCATTGCAAATACTTGCAGGGATAGCTCCGCTAAGGCGATTGTTGGAAAGTGAGAAGAAGAGTGCATAAGGAAGGTAATTGCTGATGTCAACTGGAATTGAGGAATTGAAAAAATTGTTGGAGTAGTCCACGTAGATCATCGAAAACGATGATTGAATGATTGGAATCTCCCCTTCGAGCTTGTTATGATGCATGTCCAAGACACCAAGATTGGGAAGAGAAATCGGTACCTGGAAATCCACTAGGTTGTTGTGTGAGAGATTGAGATGGTATATTGTAGTCGTTTCCAGAATCCAGCGAGGTACTACCCCATTGATATTGTTTCCTGAGAGGTCTAGCCTGGTTAGCCTTGATTGGTTTCCCAGCTCGGGAAATTGGCTCAAATTGCTCGATGCCAGGTTCAATATGCCGAACTGAGGATAAATGGATGACAAGGTAGAGTTGTTGTTGCCACTTGCATCCACGGTCAAGTTGTTGTATGAAAGATCAAGAGTGGTGAGATTCTGGAGCGCCTGAATCCAGTTCAGCTGTACGGTTCCATTGAATCTATTGGATGAAAGTACAAGGACTTTCAGTGTTTGGACTTCAAAGATGGAGCGAGGGACGGGACCTTCCAAATGGTTGCTGCTCAAATCTAAAGTATCCAGAATCGAAGAAGAAGCATTTGAAAACTCTGGAGCCGGTCCCTTAAGTTGGTTGAAGGAGAGTTGAATCTTTTGCAGGGTTGGAATGGAGAACAAAGATGGAGGAATGCTTCCGTTGAAAGAATTGTGCCTGAGGTCAACATACTCAAGTTTCTGAAAGCTTCCCCATTGAGCCGGTATATCACCTGCCAACTGGTTGTAAGATAAATCCAGATGCACTAGACTTTTCGACAAGCCAAGTGATGGAATTGGACCTATGAGATTGTTGGACGAAAAATCCAAGTAATTCAGTTGAGCCAGATTTTCCAATGACCTGGGAATTGTTCCACTGAAATTGCATCGAGAAAGCTCTATCCTTGACAAGTTGCCAAGATTTCCCAAGGATGAAGGCAGCTTGCCTGAGAAGTTGGTGTCGGTGAGCAACAGAGTCTGCATAGAGTAGTGATTCTGAGGAAAATCTGGAATCTCCCCTTCAAGCAATTTGTTATTCGACAGATCAAGAATCTCTAGGCTTGGAATTTGGAGTATCTTTGCGGGAAACTTTCCTACCAGCCCGCAAGAGGTTAGACGCAAGATAGTCAAGTTTCTGAAATCTGCAAAGAAATCAGGAAATGGATCGGAGAAGTTGTTGTTGTCCAGACGAACTACCGAGAGAGACTCAAGGTCGGAGAGCGAGAAATCAATAGGGCCTGAAAGGAGGCAGTTGGACATGCTCAATACTTTGAGATTCGGCAACGAAGAAGCTATGGCTCGGCACCACTCAGTCCCGTGCGTTGATATGTTCACACCATCGAGACGGAGATCAGTTAGTCGCTTGAGATTCTGAACAAGTCCAGCGAGATTGGGGTTCTCAAGTTTCAGGGACGGAAGGCCCAGGAAAGAAAGCGTCGAGAGATCGAGGCTGACCAAGCTACTCATTTGAGAGACGGCGGATGGAATTTGCCCGTAAAACCCAGCACTAGACAGATTGAGATGTCTCAAATTGGTGAGGTTGGACACCGCAGTTGGAATCGTTGTGTTGAAGCTGTTGAAAGACAAATCCAGGACCTGAAGATGCTGAAGACTGAATAGAGCGATGGAGTTGTCAAGTCCGCCGGTGATGGATTCATTGCTCAAGTTGAGGCCAACAACACGAACAAGGCCACCCACTAGATCACAAGTTATACCAAGCCAGTTGCAGCAATCGATGCTCGAATTCCAGCCCGCCAGATTCCCAGAGAATGATCGGCTGAAATTGAGGCTCTGCTTTAATTGGAGTAGAAGAGATTGCTGGTCTCCCGGGCATTGGCCGGAGACCGGAGCTACATGGCTGGCCACGAGTATCGATAGAAGAGGCATCAATAAAACCCAAGCGAGCTGCTGCGGTTTCATTGGAGGAAATCACGAGGCGCCCACAACATAATACAAAGTGGAGGAGGTGATCAACCTGGGACTGCAGAAATGAAGAGGGGAGAACATTTGGCTTGATTTAGCTGCTGCCGATCTAAACAGCACAGCAATTTGGGTTCTTTTCTTTGCAGGGGTAGGACGGAGAAGAAGAAGAAGAAGAAGAAGAAGAAGAAGAAGGCCAAGGCAATAGATTGGACTGGTCAGAAATGAAGGGCGAAAGAGAGAAAGTAAACCGAATGCGTATGCATCTGCGCAATCATGTCTGGGTTGAGGACAGGTTTAGATCTTCCAACCTCCGAGCTTATAGTATTCTTTTCTTTTCGGGTCCCCATTTTCTTAAGTACGCGTTTCTTTGTCAGTTTTTGTTTAATTGTTTTTGTTGACTTCTTCGCGTGGGGTAGAGCAGCGAGGGTAGCACTCTGGTTTGAACGGTTGGATATTGCTAGGAAAATCAGACCAATGACTTTGACGTTTTTTAACTACTACGTTTACGTTGTCTCCGGTCTGCGTAGCTCGGCCGACTAGGTAGGGAGAAACTCAGAATGCACTTTCGTGATTACTCAACGTGCCTACCAAAATCTATACTCTTTATTATTTTTATTTTAATCTATTTTTAAATTGTCGATCTAAATTAGATTAAAGGTAATTTTAAAAATTAAAACGATATCACATATGATTTCTATCGTTTAAAAAATCAATTTATGTATATTATACTCAAACTTTACTACAACCTCATTCTCCATTGTCGCTAACATCTCCGTTGAGGGTTCCCTTCCTCCCGCTGCCGGCCACCCTCGCCAAACGATGCGGCCACCCTCCCACTGTCGTCCACCCTTGTCCACCGCTGGTCGTCCTCGTCCACCTTGTCGCTGTCCTCCTCTCTCTCTCTCTTTCTGTTTGACCCGGATTAGTGCCGGATGATTAGTGTGGAACCTTGATCCGGACTCCCTCATCTGATCTCCTCGGGAGTAGAAGAATCCTGTGGAGAGTCGGGGCAGCCCCCGTGATCTACACTCCGACGGTCAAGTTAGAATAGGATATATGATAGAGTGTAGAGAATATAGAGAGAGATAGGGTATAGAGAGAGAACCATAAGTGGTAAAGTGAGGGAAGGGAGAGAAGTCCCCTTGCTTGGAGGGTCTGGCCTCCTTATATAGGAGTCGGAGGCATCCTGTGGACGCCCCGGTAGACTGGACGCCTTCCGGTGGTGGACGCCCCCGCGTAGGCTGGACGCCCCCCCGGTGATGGACGCCCCCCGGGTGGACTGGACGCCTCCCAGTGTACTGGAACCCTAGAATGGGCTTGGGCCCAAGGTGAGACGCTTTGTGGTGGGCTTGGGCCCGTATTAGGCGGGTTCATACTAGACCCAACATTTGCCCCTTTGCTTCTTGTATTCTGTAAGAATGGACGGAGTAAAATAATGCGTTAAGGTGTATTAACTTGCCTTACTTGCGAGTCCGCACGATGCGGTTTTGCCCCTTTGTGCGACCATTGCTCGGTGATGGATGCTCCTGGTGATGGACGCCTCCCGGTGGATGAGACGCCTCTCGGTGATGGACGCATCCGGGTGACAGGATGCCTCCCGGTGATGGACGCCCACGAATGCACTGGACCCTTGCGAGTCCAAACGATGCGGTTTGCCCCTTGTGCGACCATCGTCTTTGCTTCTTTGTTTAGCATTCGATGTCTTGAGTTAGAGCTCTCAAGTCGTTTGAGATTTCCCCACTATCCCATTGTTGAGCGTGCTAATATGTAGGCCGTAACTGTGAGCTGTGTGCGTTAAGCTGTTGGACCGTGAGATGGGCATGAGCTTGTGTGCATGTTAAGCGTGAGTTGTTGGCTGAATATTAGGCGTTAGCTATGTGCTAGGGAGAGCGGCCCCCACGACTTGAGAGTTTTAACTCAAGGCGACGTTTGTGTTTTGAAGATGCCATACCTGCTGGGAGGTGGGATCGTGTTAGCTATACCGATGTCGCGCCTACTGGGAGGCGGTTTCGGGCTTCTACGTAGAGGGGAAGCATTGCTTAGGAAGCGGGATGCGGTTTTATATCTGCGAAAGATGTGAGTGAGTAGTGCCCCATATTTTTAGAGCACAAACATAAGCATAGCATGCGTGAAATATGTCATAGCATAGTGAAAATGATTATCTTCATTGCATGGCATATGATATAAGATATATCTCGAAAGAGAGAACTTAACTATAGGAGACGCAGTAGAGAACTGTATGAAATACTGGAGGTCGCATTTTGATTCACAAAGTGCCTTGCAGTGCAGTGATATACTCTTTAGCTTTGCTACAGGTGTTGGGACGCGGGTTCAATCCTTGTCGTACGCGTTTCTTTATTGTTTTTGAAATGCTTGCTCCTGATCGGGCCGAATGCTTTACACTCTTGGTGGACCAAATGTACAGAGCGTGATGGGCCGCGTTGGAATCTTGGAGCCTTGCAGACGCGTCGGTGTGCGGGCTTGGAGTCGCAATAGGCCGACTGAAGCTGGGCCAAGTGGATGTTCGGGCGGCCCAGTTGGAGGGCTGGAGGTGTGTGTATGTGGTTATAAATATAGGCTGCTGCGATATAGAATCGCCAAGATGTCTTCTACCTTGCTGGTTGGACGCATTGTTTCTGACGAAGTGGTCGGCGGTTCGATTCCAGTTGCGCGCATTTTAATTTTAGTGAAGCATGTGCCTTTGCTTAGAGATTGTTGCGGGCTTGGTGGGCCGGATCTTGAGCGGTCTTTAGTATACTGGGCCGTCGAAGGTGGACTTTGCGATGGGAAACGAATCATCGGCGCGAAGTCGGGCCAGATTGCGCCGTTACTGCGGTTGCTCTACTTGGCAGGCTGATGCTGGAGCCCGCTCGGATTGGGCCGTTGATGAAGTGGACCGCGAGCTGGAGTCGGGTTGTGTTGGCAGGGCCTAAGGGGTATTTGGAAATCAGACTAAAGAATACCATAATCATGGCCCGACGGTGGGCGCCAAAATGTTTAACCCGGATTAGTGCCGCGTGATTAGTGTGGAACCTTGATCCGGACTCCCTCGTCTGATCTCCTCGGGAGTGGAAGAATCCTGTGGAGAGTCGGGGGCGGCCCCCGTGATCTACACTCCGACGGTCAAGTTAGAATAGGATATATGATAGAGTGTAGAGAATATAGAGAGAGATAGGGTTTAGAGAGAGAACCATAATTGGTAAAGTGAGGGAAGGGAGAGAAGTCCCCTTGCTTGGAGGGTCTGGCCTCCTTATATAGGAGTCAGAGGCATCCTGTGGACGCCCCCGGTAGACTGGACGCCTCCCGTCGATGGACGCCTTCCGGTGAATGGACGCCTCCTGGTGGTGGACGCCCCCGCGTAGGCTGGATGCCTCCCGGTGTACTAGACCCTAGAATGGGCTTGGGCCCAAGGTGAGACGCTTTGTGGTGGGCTTGGGCCCGTATTAGGCGGGTTCATACTAGACCCAACACTTTCTCTCTCTGAGAGATGGCAGGGGAAGGGTGAGAATCGTGAGATGCTAACGACAGTAATCTCTCTCTCCCTCAATCTATTCATCGTAGGCCAGGAGAACTTAAAAACCTAGATTTCGTTTTTTTTTGTTTTGGTACTGATTCATTGTTTTGTTTTGTGAAGTGGTATCTTTTGTTTTTCATAATGGTATTGATTTATTTCTGCAGTGGTATTGTTTTGATTTCACACTAGTAGTGTCGTAGTGGTATTGGTTCATTTTGGTACTGGTTTGACTCTTGTTATGATAGAGATTGTTTATATTGGTAGTTTTAGTGTAATTGTATTGTTTTTCATAACTGTATTGATTTATATCTGCAATATTGGTTTTCAAAGTGGCATTGATTGTTATTGATTTCATGTTTTATTTTTACAGTTGTATTATTTAGACTGAACAAAGAAAAGAAAAAGATTGTGAAAGTGAGAGAAAGAGAGAAAATTTGTAATTAATATGTTTTTGTAACTTTACAAAATTTAATTTATTAAAAAGGTATTTAATAATAATAAAATTCATACCCAATTTTTCCTTAGTAACCATGGTGATTACTATTTCGTAGTAATCACCATAACCACTCCATGAGATCAGCAGAGATTTCATCTGGGGAGATGAAGAGAACCACTCAAAGTTCCATCTCATTGCCTGGGAGAGACTTTTGATGCCTAAAGCACAAGGGGGAGCGGGACTTAGATCAACTCGACAGGCCAACCTGGCTATGCTCGCCAAGTGCGGGTGGCGTCTCCTTCAGGAAAAAGAAAATGTTTGGCAGAAGCTCCTTCTTTCGAAGTATGGCGGCCAAAGATCCGGGCTGGAGGTCTTGCAAAAAAAACAGGGAAGTTCCTTCACCTGGAATAGCTTTGTGAAAGCTGCTGATCTCCTTAAGCAAGGATGTGCTTGGAATATTAGTAATGGGAAAAGAACTAAATTTTGGAATGATCTATGGGTTTTGCAGGTGCCTCTTAAGGAGCTGGCGACTAGTGCATTGCCGGAGGGCGCGGAGGAAGCTAGAGTGGCGGACTTTGTTCGTGAGGACGGCAGCTGGCGCATGGAAATGTTCTCCGAGCTTCTCCCTCCGGAAGTCTGCAGCAAGATTACAAGTGTAGCTGTTGACAGCCTATCTCAGAATGAAGATTCTCTTTTCTGGTCTCCGGCTGTCGACGACAGATTCTCTACGAAATCGGCGTATGCTTTGCTCACTAAGCAGGATCAGCAAGCTGATGGTGTGATTTGGAGGACGATTTGGCGACTACCTGTTCCGGAGCGGGTCCGAGGCTTTTGTTGGCTGGCAGTTCAGGGGAGGATTGCTACGAATGCCCTCCGTTTTCAGAGGAAAGTGGCAACGTCACCCTTTTGTATGCGTTGTACAGGCCACCCGGAGACGGTGTTACACATAGTGCGAGATTGTGCGCCGGCACTTTTCTTCTGGTCCAGACTTGTTTCGCAGCAAAAGCAGCATGAGTTCTTCAATGCTGGCCATGATGCCTGGTTTCG